TGACTTTCGTCGACAGCGGTTGTCGCTGAGCTGCACGCTACAACTTCTGTGCGATCTTGCTGGTCGTGGATTGACTGGGTCTTGATTACCGGTTAAAATGTTGCTCTTTTGGCGTTGGTAATTTTTATTTGGAACTGAGTAACGCCGCAACGTCGCCAGCAGAAACCTGGTATCTCGATGCTGATGGTTCGGCTGCATAGTAATCGCTGATTTTACTGCTGGTGGATCTTCTGAGAGCCCTTCAAGGTTTATAAAACTCAGTTTCCAGGTGGTCAACATACATTAAGTTCTTCCAATCGTAGTATTCCATGTGATGTACATGCCAAAAATGTTGTTGAACGATTTGAACTGGATAAAAATAGCAGTCGAAAATGTGTTTACAAAATAAAAATAGTTCGGTAGCCAATGAAAATACCATGTTCATTTGCATATCGACCGTGAAAATACCGAAAACATTATTGCATGGGTGATATGCAAATTAGTTTGGGCCAAAATAAGTGACTGCCTAAAAGTACCATTACTGTTGTTCAAATTTCATTTCACTCGGCAAGTATATTCATGTACCCCAAGGGGAAAATATCATACTTCTAAATATTGTTTATTTCGAAAAACTGTACTCCTGAAGGGACTACTTTGTTTGCTCTCAGACCTCATTTGCATATGGGTTGTGGAAATACCGATTTTGATTTCATGGACGAATCAAAATAAACTGCAGTACATATGTAATAATAGACAGAATTGCATTATTTTTGAATGGGAATTATGCCACTTTTATTGTATTGAAATAATGAGGTTCAATAATCTTTCATGATACATCTGACACACCACAGTTTAAAGGTCAATTTAAGTGCATTGCAGCTGACACATTGAACCCGAGTGTACGCCGCAAAATGGTCTTCGAAGCAGCCGAAGTTGAAGCTTATGCGTTTGAGAGGAATTTCGACGACAGCTACTGGGTAGAATGGATGCAATTGACGGGAGTCAAAGTCGCGTTCGCCGCTTCCGTGCTCTACGTTCTGCTAATATTCGGCTTTCAATGGTTCATGACAACTCGCGAACGACTCAAGTTTCAACGTGCGCTGGTTTTGTGGAATCTTGCATTAGCCGTGTTCAGTGCGATTGGAAGTTGGAGGATGATTGTGGCTTTAATCAACGTGTTACACCACGGTACATGGCATGACGCGATTTGTGATTCATCACATTACAGTAATGTTGTCAGCGGATATTGGCTATGGGCATGCACAATGTCTAAAATCATCGAACTCGGAGACACTGTTTTTGTGGTGTCACGTAAGTCCAAACTGATTTTCCTTCACTGGTACCACCACGTTGCGACCTTACTCAATGTGTGGTGGGGCTACAGTGGACGCATCAGCACAGCGTTCCTGTTCACCGTCATGAACTTGACAATACACGCCATGATGTATAGCTACTACGCCCTCAGAGCCGCTGGAGTGAGAGTCCCCAAACCGTGTGCCATGGTTATAACAGCGCTGCAGCTCTCTCAGATGTTTATTGGTGTGTGGTTATGTTATTATGTGTATCAAGTTCAAAGTCAAGGCGAAGAGTGTCATGTCAGCTTATTGCAGTGGAGACTGAGTGGTCTCATGTATCTGAGTTATTTTGTGCTTTTTGCAAACTTTTTTTATAATACGTATATGAAAGGCAGACAAGGCACAAGACGAAGTGACGCAAAACAAGAGTAGAACTTCATTTACGCATTTAAAAGAGTTCCTTTTGTACCCCACCCCTAACCCTAACACTAACCCCACCACTACCTCTCAGTTCCCCCAATTTAATTGGATACACTCCTAAGGACATGATATACAATTGAATTGGGGGACTTATGAGGGTGAGGGTTAGACCGGAGGAAGGAAGAAAGGAACTCTTTTCCTTAATTCAAATTATTCTCTGTGGCTTGAATTATGTATTGTAGTTAATCATTTGACAAAATAAATTAAATAATACAATAACAGTATGCCCAATACCTAATTTTCCTAGCATGAAGAAGATTGCGACCGGTTGCACACTCAGAACTAAAAAAACGTCAGAGTACATACTGCCCTCAACGGTCGCGGTATTCAGAGCTGGTGAAATGACGTCCAGTCAGGAGGACTTAAATTGTCAGTCCCGTGTGATGTTACTGTTCTCAGTGCACGTAAAAATTCACAGTATCATCTTTGCAACGAAAAGCGGATTTATTACCGCTGGAACTAAGTTTTGGGCACCACCAAGATCTTTGCCTCGGATAATAAAACTATGGGCTGGTTAGATAGACACTCAACCATGTCCGTTGTAAAAGTGTACTTTCCAACTTCGTGTTTAAAACTAAGCCAGATTATTTTCATATTTACCTCTGAAGTTCTTTTTCAAATTTGTTCTGCGATGACAATATCTTTTTCGGCGACCATTTTTGCTAATTGTTGGTATACAGCACTTTTTGATAGGGAGTTCAAAAACAATAATATATTCGATGGGAAACGTGCAAATATTTTAATTTTAACTCAACAAAAGAGCGAATTCTATGGTATCTTAGAGCTCTGATTTTAGAGAGATTTTACGTTCCCAGTTTTAAATTCAATTGGCCTGCTTGGTGTTACGTTGTTAAATTATCACACTTAACATCTTTCAACTATTTTACCATTTTTAGAAAGGGGTTCCTGGGCAATCAGCCCACCCTAAACCCACTACTGCAAATTGTTGTACACAAAAAGGGTCAAGAAGATTGTACGCATAATTATCTCAATGGCGTTCTTTATTTGTTTTGAAATAGGTATTTGGTCACAGTTTATAGAGTCTGTTTATTATGTAAAATTGGGAGTTTAGTATTAGTGGACAAATAAAATGTGTCATTGTGTTGCCCAAAATATAATACTAATAGAATTAATCTCAGAGAGCATTCTTCGTACGTCAAAACAGATTGGTCAAAGCATCGTCATCATCACTGATGGGAGCAGTCATACTGTCAAATTTAGCATTATACAAATATTTGTCCATTTCAAGAGGTAAAGTCCTAAAATAATGACAACAGTTATATTAGTCTTCATTCATTTCTGCTTGTTTATGCGATAATTTGCAAAATGTGTTCTTTTGTTTTGTATTTGTTTTCCTAGTTACTGTCCGTATTAAGTTTGAAATATATAAATTAACATATCTTTAATGTAAATGACGAGGGCCCTACTTATGAATAATCTATCTAAATGATTCAGCTGAACGGTACAGATTATACGGTATACTTTCCTGTGTTTTTTTTAATGTGAGAAAGTATATCTATTATTTTATTCGACACAACATAGAAATATTACATCACTATGGACACTAATAACTACTATCACCTACAATTTTCTGATACTGTACTTAAAGCGCGGTGGTCGTCACACAGCGCGTGTTCGAATTTCATGTAAATAAACAATGTATTTTACACGCGTTGTATACGTCGCTATGAGTCCCATATCGAACAGGACGTGTCACGACGACTGCCGCCCTTTAAAGTGCCGTTACTAGTTGCCGTACTTAAATGAAGTAATTCTACGAATTTGGCGAGTACTAGTATTAGGCGTTTTTGCTGCTCTATCGCGGGCTATATGTTATCACATTGTACGTGTATTACGTACTCTTTTGTATAGAAGGAAAATCGGCCAATGGCCTGTAGAAATCGCACCTGATTAGTAAAAAGAAATTGCTTTTAAAGATAACCAATAATCTGCTTAGTATTCACAAATCTCGTCTATCTGAGCATAGTTGGTTCGAATAGTAAGACGAACGTTGGATCCCTCATATAAGAGTATTATAATTCTGGGAAAACACTCCTCTTATACTACAGAGTAAACGGATATTGTTAGGAACAAAGAAAAAGTATTTTCCTAACGAACGGGTATTTTTGAGAACAAAGAAACTAGTAAACAGGTACTGTTTGTGCTTAAATGATATATTCAAAACATTCGACAAATAAACAATCTTGGTTTAATTGCTCTAACTCTGGGAAGCTGAATTATTTGAAGAAATACCTACTGATCCAACGACACCAAGCTTGTTCAACGTCCATTTTGTACTTGTACTCGCCGATCAGGTTTCATGCCACTAAACAACCAATGGCTGTTCAATTTAAATGCCTTGCAAGAACCAATGATTTTTTTTAAATATTTTTTTTCTCAGGTGCTCCCTGTTTGAGGGCGTGATCAACATGTGGTCTTTTGTTTACTGCTTAGCGGCTGTGTACCTGTGGGTTTATTCTGTGTTTTTGGTTTATTCTGTTTTTTTTTATGTTTGAGCCATGGTATGAGCCCATCAAGGATACCGTGCGTACAGCGCCGCCTGTGTTGACGCAATTACTTTGATTCTATCGTTGATGGCGTTTTTTACCAAAATGGCGTTCTCTGAAAACGAAAACATTAAATGACAGTTCATTGGAGTTCTTTCGCCCAGCATGTAATATTCATTGTTTCATGATCGAGAAGGGTTATCCGTAACAGGGTTCTGCGATGGAGAAATATGAGAAAATACGAGTTGTTGGTCGCGGGGCTTACGGGTAAGAATTTTTGTTTTGTCATGATTTTTGTAATCATGGAGGTCGTATTCGATTATCAGAATCACAGGGACTGTGTCAGAATCGATGTACCCCTCGCCAGAGTGTCCGCCCAGAGTGACATCGCAATACATATCGTTAATGTATTACATCGAATAAAGCCTGTGTACCAAACGGAGTTTCAATCTTTTCAATTTGTTAAAAACAGCAGGTCTATAGCAACCTAGGGAGATGATTTAGCGTGTTTAATAGTCTTGGCCAAAGAAATATTATATTATCAAAGTCAGTATATGAAATTATTCTATAAATTATTGCAAGACATCAAGACTAGTAACTTTCAACAATTAATTGCCTGTCCTGCTAGAAAGTTACCAGTCCTGTTTTTTTCTTCTTATGGTTTCACACTTCTTACAAATTAGAATGCAGAACACATTGTCAATGTTGAACTGGACTATTTGCTCATTTTGTTGTTGACTTTGGCCGTGAGAAAGGACCATAGGCAGCTCAGGATATTTTATTGGCCCCAGCAGTAAAAATGACAGATACCATGTTTGGTCACAACCCAAAAAAAACATGTCACAATATAGCATCCGTTCACCAAAATATTTAGCTTCTGAACAGCAATTTAATTGAACCTGGTATGCGTATTTTGTTGATCATTTTGTCTATTCACATGCAGCATACGAACAGACACTCTGTTAAATTAATTGGTCAGTGAAAATTGTTTTGGGACATTGATAAATTCTCTTGGGGCCCTACATTGCAGAGTGTCATCAACAAAATTGTTGAATAAAATTAAAAAATTTTGAAACTTAAGTGGTTTATATTAATTTTTTTCATGGATTTTATTCTACAGTACTGTACACCTGTGTAGAAAAAATACAGACAATAAACTGGTGATCATCAAGCAGATACCCGTGGAGCAGATGACGAAAGAAGAGAGACAGGCAGCCATCAATGAGGTCAAAGTACTCTCCATGTTGGACCATCCTAATATTATTGAATATTATGAGAATTTTTTGGAAGATAAAGCTTTGATGATTGTCATGGAGTACGCTGAAGGTATTGGATTTTTTCAAATATTTTATTTTATTTCAAAGTATAGCTTGCAAGACTCAAAATACAAAAAATGATACGACTGGTAGTAATTCCAAAAACACACACTCCAGCATGGTTTGATATCAAATTTTTTTTTTACATTTTTGGTTGAAAAATGCTTCAGGAAACATAGCCTTTTCAAGGGAAATCATGTCTCCTAACAAATAATACTGTCAATTGCAAAGGAAGCATAACAACTTGAATACAGAGGATACTTAGCCAGCAAAATGAAATTGTTCAAGCACATTTTTTGATTTAAAAAATGGGATTGTATTATGTTAAAGTAAAATAGTTGTTCCCTAACACTTGTTTACATAAAAACTTAAAAGTCCTTTGAAAATTGCTTTGCAACTGTGTACTCCCACATATAGATAAATGCTTCTAAATTAACAAATTTGTGATTAATTAACGTGATTCAGCTATCAGTGACATAAACTATAATATCAGATGCAGAGATTTAGTAACAAGGCTGAAAATTTCAGAGTTTATTGTCGTTATCAAATACAGCTCTTACGAGTATATCAATAAAGAAAAAGTATAATCAGTACCGGTATACTGACCTGGATCTGAATGTTTTGGGATGAGACTGATATATTAAACCATGGCATTGCACCATTGCATCATGGGAAAATGTAATTTGATTTTGAATGACCTGCCCTTCTTTTGCTATTCATACGTTACTGCAGGTGTCAATCCTGTGTGCTAACATATCATGTACTGTAAAATACTTTATTTTAGCTCGAATTAATTTTCACTGAAAATATTTGTTGGGGTTTTTTTTTGTATGGAATTTATTTTCTCTGATTTTTGACGAGTTGAATGTAAGATATAGGGAAACAGATATATTCGCTGGATTTTATTTTCACTGAATCATTCCTTCAGTGAAAATTAATTCCAAACGAAAATAACGTATTCTACAGTACACCAACCAATGTCTGCATATAAAAGACTTACACCTGTACACAATGTTTAACGTTTATGATCAGTACAATTCTTCCGGACTTTCTTGATGCTTGTAGCATTATAATGTTGATTAAACGTATTCTTGTATTGATATATAGTGTGCAATCTGAACACGCCATAATACTTGCCCCAGTTCAGAATTATTACAAATAGCTGATGCGGATATAATTTGCTTTGTCTGTAGGTGGCACCTTATTTGAGTATTTACAACAAAAAGGAAATAATTTGTTGGAAGAAGAGGTGGGTGACTTTCTTCTGATGTAAAATGGATGGAGGACATCACGGCCGTTTGCGCTGATATGGCTTCTATGCTATGCTTATCAATGTAAACACATCAGTATGAATAATGGCCTCCTTGTACAACTATTTTAACCTTCATTAAAAATAATAATAATATGGTGTACTTGTGCCTATTCTCATAAACGGAGCTCTAGGTGCATAACAAGAATAAATAACTACAAAAAATAATATTCATATACAACACTTAGTTTACTTGCATTGAATATGGATCAGATGGGACCCATATTGAACACAACATGACATAATCTACGGAGTACGAGTATCGAGTATGCATACTGAATTTGAATACGAGTGTTGAGTATTGAATCTGAATATCAAGAAATAATTTTTCTGTCATAATTGTCTGCAAAATGACAGTGAAAGATCAATGTTTATTGTATTTTTTTTTTCAGGAGATTCTCCATCTGTTTGTGCAGACATTATTAGCACTGCATCACGTCCATGCTAAACAGATTTTACACAGAGACCTGAAAACACAAAACATTTTATTAAACAAACAAAGAAATGTTGTAAAGATTGGTGATTTTGGTATATCAAAGGTACTGAGTAGTAAAAGTAAAGCTTACACCGTGGTTGGAACTCCATGTTACATCTCACCAGAGTTATGTGAAGGCAAGCCGTATCCTTTGACCAATCAGCATGGTGTAAAATCAGTGCTATCCAATCAGATTATTTATCTTGAATTCTGACTGACCAATCACAATTTGAATTGTAATTCTAATTATCTAATCAGAATGTTGTGTATAAATTCTATTTAGCCAATGAGAATCTTTCATTCAAATTTTAACTATCCAATCAGAATGCTGTGTATAAATTCTATTTAGCCAATTAGAATCTTGCATTCAAATTGTAACTAGCCAATCGGAATATTGTATTCAACATGTAACTTGCCAACCAGTATGCATAATATTGAGTTGAAACATCAGGATATCACACCAATTATACACAGAGTACAGCAGTCAATATCCTTAACTGAGGTCTACAGTTATAATCAGAAAAGTGATATATGGGCACTTGGATGTGTTTTATATGAACTATCTAGTTTGAAAAGGGCCTTTGAAGCAGCAGTAAGTCATATACTTCATTTTGCTTACAGAATAGATTGTGTTATTTTAGGCTTTTCACTGTATGTAGTAATAGGAGATACAATAATAATGCAGTTTTATCGTGGCGTAAGTAATATTGCAATAACAATCACACTTTGTATGTTAATTTTGCTGTCATCCGAATTAGATTTCTTCCAAATACGAATTGATTTTTTTTTATTAGTTTCTTGGTGTCAGCTGTACATGAATATTGGTTTACCGTATAAGTACATATAGGTACACATCTTGAATTTGAGAACTAAAATTTCAAGCCGCTCTGATAATTGTTTTCATTCTTTCTTTCTTTCTTTTTTCTTGAGAATTGAATTTTGTTACACTAATGTATGTGACATTTCACATCCACAATTAGTAAATAATTTAGTGATCTATCTTTCTGTTACATTATTATTCAATTAATAGATCATTTTAAAATATTTCCAAAAATATTTCATACATGGGCAAGGTGTTCAATAGTTTTACTATGTTATTTACATATTGTAGAATTTACCAGCTTTGGTGTTGAAGATCATGAGAGGGACATTCTCACCGATATCTGAGGAGTACTCAGAGAACTTAAGAATACTTATTCTCAGCATGTTGCACCTGGATCCAAATAAACGACCGACTATAAGTCAGATAATGGCCGAACCAATTGTTATTAACTCACTAATGGATTTGTACACTGACATAGGGAAAGTAGCAGTCCCTGCAAAGTGAGTAGAAATCATTCATACCTCTCAGCTGATATGTACTCAAGTCTACTTTCGAAAAAAGTTTTTCACATACCGATAATTTTTAGTTCCAGTATGTGAAGTACATAAAGAGGTAACAAGTTTAGTCTGTTTATCCATCCATCTGTGCGTGCATATTAATTAGGTAATTTGCATATTAATTCTAGTACTAGATTCATGATTGCTGTTTGTTTAGATCAATAATACCTTCCAATAAATATGCATATTAATTAGCTAATTAACACTAATTATTTGTGGTAAATGTTTTCAGATTTTCATACTGTATTTTACATACTGTATCATACTGGTAACAACAATTTACTTCAATGGATTGAAACTTTCTACATGCTTATCACTTACACAGTTGAATGTCTGATAAAAGTGTCAAATCACTGTTAATTTTAGTTTGTTAATTTACATACTAATTAATTATTTTCATCTTGTTTTGTTTGTATTGCAACATTTTGCTCAAATGAATTGAAACTAAGTACATGCATACTGTGTAAATAAATGATAACAGTTTATAATATTCTGCATTTTAAGCTAATTTGCATACTAATTACTTGCAACTATCACAACCAGTACAAGAAAAATAAGATCAATAATCATCCCTGGATGAGAGGATATTCAATTCATGTCTGGTTGTAAAGATGAAATGACTAGCATAAACTGTAAATGTAACAATGTATAATTCGGTGTGTGTTATCCATAGAGTACAAAGGCCTTTATCTGGATTACCGACATCATCACGACATAGAGGTCGGCTTTACAGCGCAAAGTCCTCGTATAAAGGTAAACAACAAATTCATTAGTTGTGTGGTAAGCCTCGTTATAACGAACTCTTTGAAATGTTCATTATAATGAAGCACATAATATTTATTTATTTATTTTTTTATTTTTTTATTTATTTATTTATTTATTTATTTATTTATTTATTTATTTATTTATTTATTTATTTATTTATTTATTTCATTTATTCATTTATTCATTTGTTTATTTGTTTATTTGTTTCATTTGTTCATTCGTTCATTCGTTCATTCTTCTTCTTTCTTCTTTCTTTCTTTCTTTCTTTCTTTCTTTCTTTCTTTCTTTCTTTCTTTCTTTCTTTCTTTCTTTCTTTCTTTCTTTCTTTCTTTCTTTCTTTCTTTCTTTCTTTCTTTCTTTCTTTCTTTCTTTCTTTCTTTCTTTCTTTCTTTTATTTATTTATTTATTTATTTATTTATTTTAGGTCAGGCTCCATAATGGGAGGGTTCATCTTGAATAATGTTTGTGGTCAGAATATTGTGGATTATTTTGAGTTTAAATTTGTGAGTGGTAATTAGTGTATTGGCAATCAAGACATCAAGTGAAAGATATTCAATAATACCGTAAAATATGTCTCAGATCGAGACCTGATAAATTTGTAGTTCACAATACTCTAAGCCACAGTTCTTGTAGTAATTTTGTAAATCGGCCGATGTACCTCCGTGTTTCAAACTAACTGGTTTATCCAAATGGCTGACATGCTCATCAAAATCAGAGTTGTTTAGTTTGTGAGGTACGCATTGTATCAGGCCATACCATCTGAGAAATCATGACCTGTGCACTCCTTTGCTCTGAATCTCCTCTCATGCCAGTAGTTTCCCAGTTACCCCATACATTTGTAAAGTAAACACTCTTTGTTGCATCATGTCATCAAATAACTGGATACATTAATTTTTTATTTTCTAGGTTCAGCTAGCAATATTGTTCTTGACTCTAGTGGTGGTCTCCCCAAGCCACAAGCGTTGTCAACTATTTATTGTTGGGGAAACGGACTTCAATCTCCAGTCAAGTTGCCTGTATCGCACAGTGACACTCAAGTCATAGAAGTGTCCACAGGGAGGACTCAGAAAGCTGGAGTCACTAAGAATGGCAGGTTAATTATTTGGGAGGTAAGTATTAACTAGTTTGAACAACTTTCAACCAGTTAACCATTGTATGGTTGTATTCTGTGATGTATATGAATCAAACACAACTCACAACAAAGCACTGATGTCAAATTATGAATTACATTTTTGACTCCAGTGGGCAAAGCACAAAATGAGAGTCTTTGCAGTTAGTGCTTCTGTATGTGTGTCTGTCTCTCTGATCCATGGATATCTCAAGAATCATAAGTTTGTTTTTGATGTAACTTGATGCATAGATGTTCTGGGTTAATGCACAGATTTGATTAGATTTTGGTTGAAATCTATGCACATTAATAATTACTAGTACCTAATTTGCATGAATGTTCCACTGATATCTGAAGAACCACTCATTTGATTTTGATGAAATTTGGTAATAGATGCTCTGGACTAATGCACAGATTTGATTAGTTTTGGGTAAAAAACCATACATATTAATTTGCATAATGATTAGTCAATTTTTGGCCTTTCCACTGATATTTCAAATATTCATCACATTTCAATGAAAATTGATACATAGATCTCATAGTACAATGCACAGAGCTGATAGGTTTTGGGTGAAAATTCTTGCATAAGAATCAACAAATTTGCATAATTAGCCAATACTTGTCTTGTGCACCGATATCTCAAGTACTAATTGTCCCATTTAAATGAAACTTGATACATAGATGTGCATATTAATTACCTGTTTTGCATATTGAGCCAATTTTAAACTTTCACACTGATATCTTAGGTACTAATTATTCTATTTCAAAACAACTTGGTGCATTGATGCTCTATGACAATGCACAGACCTGCTCAGTTTTGGGTTAAAATCTGTATATATTAATTACCTGATTTGCGTAATAATTTATTTTTCAACTTTCCACCAATTTTTTTAGGATTAATAACCACATTATACTTAGTATTAACCCATTTCTGATCTCAAAAACTCAAATTTAAATTGAATTTGTGGTAGAATTGCTCTGGAAATAATAACACTGAAAACCACAAATGTATTTTCTGTAAGTATTATAAATTTTAATAATGTGGATCAAATTGTTTTTATGTTGTGCATCTCAAATAGCAACCACACATATTAGTTGCAAAGTTCCTTGTTTGAAAAGCAAATCCTAAATTTGAATTGATTTTAATATGTCTTCAATACTCTCAGCCCACAGGAATTCATTCTAAGCTTTCTTGGATTATTTTTTCCCAGGTGTCATCAGTTGGGAATAATACTACATTACCAGGTTCAGTGGAGCAACAGATACCAACTTTTGTTGCAAGATTTCTTGAAGGACAGTCTGGGGTGACTATAAAACATGTTTCATGTGGAGATTTATTCACTGCTTGTCTTACAGGTAGGTGTAATGCATGATCTCTAAAGGTCACACATCCTGGTTTTTTATTGAGGTGTAGATGTGCTATCACAGCTGTAATAATCCCATGGCAACATTATGTTTGTTCTGTCTATCCAAATGTCTGTACATCTACAGAGTCATATCAGGTACACTATTGCAGATAGAGACATTCACACAAAGTTATATACGGCATTACACACTGGATCTGATCAACATATTTGATGACCATAGTTAGTCATGTGATCTCATCAAAAAAGTCATATCTAAAGCACTTTTGAGAATAGACATTCAACCAGTGCTTTATTGAAGACATTGGGCTCACAATCTGATAAACGCATTTAATAACCATATATGGTCATGTGACCTCATTATAAATGCATACATATCATTCAATATGCATAAATCTTGAGCACTGCAGATATTATCTTTCAACCAGTGATTATAATAAAGATACCAAGAGATCTGCCATCACTGAAGGTTTTCTTCTTTACAGTGACTCTGTGTTGTTGTATATTAATTGATCAGTTTAATATATTTGGCAATGAATGAACAAAATTCAACTTTTTGATTCTCAATAATCTGACTTTAGATCGGGGTATCTTAATGACGTATGGTAGCGGTGCTAATGGGTGTCTTGGACACGGGACTTTTCATGACGTATCACAAGCCAAGATTGTTGAAGAGTTACTGGGATTCGAGGTGATACTTGTATCCTGTGGTACATCACATGTCATTGCTATTACTAATGACCATGAAGTCTTTTCTTGGGGTAGAGGAGATAACGGTAAGCAATATGTTTTAAAAGACGAGCTCTGCTGAAATGCTGACAGAATACCATACATATGAGCTATTGAAATGATACTAATTTACATATGACATGTGCTACAAACAGTCTGGTCATACTTGGCTGCTGCATGTGAGGTATTGAAATAATACCAATTCAGAAATTGAAAGGGCACCTATTTCCAAGTGCAAATTTGATAAAATATTACTTTAGCCTATAGGAATTTTATAGGAAAAATCTGCACTTTTGGCCCTGGCCAATTGATTTCTGGTAGAAACATTGCAGTCATACTGTAATGTAAAATTGATGCCAATTTCATGTGTATGAGAGTATATATTAAGATGTTAGATTGCATATCCAATTTTGTGTTATACTTTTTCCTTTGTAGGGCGTCTTGGACTTGACACGACCGAGAGTCACAAATCTCCTCAACCTGTTATAATACCAGATCCATACCAAGCTAGGTCAGTTCACTGTGGCGTGGATTGTTCTATAATAGTCACAGTGGATGGTACATTGCTAGTCTGTGGTAATAATAGGTAGGTACGTGAGTTATAAATTTGGGTTGTTATGGATTGATGAAGGTGTTGGTGGTGTATCAGGGCTGGCTGATTGAGGGTTGATCAAGGATTGCAGATTAAGAAGATGGGGTGGAGCTAAGCTGGTGATTGAGATGATGAGCAAGGAGCAAAGCTGACAGATTGAGGTGAGGGTGGGTGGTGGTGAGGGAGGTTGGGATAGGAGTGAAAATGATTGTGAAGTGTGATTGTAATGGTGAGAGTAAGGTTATGGTAGGAGTGGGAGTCAAGTTATGCTATGTGTAGTGGATGCATTTTACTATTTATTTCATCATCAATTTAACTACTGTAACATCAAACAAATGCTCTGATTTTTAAAGTAATACTGTATTAAGTATCATTCAGTTTGTAATTTAACCCTTCCAAGCTGAAATACAAAATTGCTCAAATTCTACTAGGAATTAAATAATACTACATTTCTTTTCTTAGCCAATTTCCAGGGTCAGAGAAATTATAATTATTATATTAACTATATTTTTCTGATTCATGTAGAATGAAAATAGAACAACATCGCAATGATTCAGGCATAATTTCTTCCCAAATGAGTCAACATGTGATTAATAGTAGCTGGAAAATTTTTTGGCCATTCAGAAATTATTTTTCAGCTGTCTTGTTGCTGCATGCCTAGCATGAACATTCTAATATAATATATCCCATGTGTGTTATTTGGTCCCATGAAGGTCATTTTAACTCAGTGGTTAAATTATATGAACATTTGACACAAAGCACAGCTCATGTGCCTATAAACAAGTCACAGTGACTTTCATGAAATCATCATTCCCAGGATTGTCATCAAATAATCTTTTTGCTAAAATTGATAGCAGCAAAAATACAACAGTATTTCAGCTATGAATTAATGTGAGTCCACCTAATTACTGTACATGTCCAAAACTCACTCCATATTTTCTTGAATATTCTTTATTTCCTAGGCTGTAAATGCTCTGCAGGTCATCACAAATTGGAACCATTATCTTGCTCACATTTTGTTACACTTTATGAATGGTCATTTATTTTGCTGTTAGTTATGAATCTGAATTTTCTAGAGGGGCGCCCCCCCCCCCCCCCCCCAATTTCATACTAGCAGATGAACTCAGTATTTTATGTATCCTTGTAGGCACAACAAATTAGGTTTGGATGACAATGGTAAAACACCACGTCAGGTGGACGAAGTACATATATTTACGTCAGTTGTATCTGAACCACTGAGACAATTACACATTAAGTCTGTTGCTATAGGAACATCTCACACTGCTGTTGTTACAGGTATGTTTGTTTATAAAGTGTACAGATGGCATGAGTCTATTAAATTATAAACAGTACAGGTATAGTGGTTTTGTCGGAACCATGCTTGTTTGGTCTCATGTTTAATTGTTACCTTGGGTTGTATACCAAAATGGAGGAGATCAAGAGCATAGCTTGGTCTAGTTGGCACTGGGATAGCATGACTGAGTCTGGTTGGCACTGGGATAGCATGACTGGGTCTGGTTGGCACTGGGATAGCATGACTGGGTCTAGTTGGCACTGGGATAACATGACTGGGTCTAGTTGGCACTGGGATAGCATGATTGGGTCTTGTTGGCACTGGGATAGCATGACTGGGTCTGTTTGGCACTGGGATAGCATGATTGGGTCTTGTTGGCACTGGGATGGCATGACTGGGTCTTGTTGGCACTGGGATAACATGACTGGGTCTAGTTGGTACTGGGATAGCATGACTGGGTCTGGTTGACACTGGGATAGCATGACTGGGCCTAGTTGGCACTGGGATAGCATGACTGGGTCTGGTTGGCACTGGGATAGCATGACTGGGCCTAGTTGGCACTGGGATAGCATGACTAGGACTAGTTGGCACTGGGATAGCATGACTGGGTCTAGTTGGTACTGGGATAGCATGACTGGGTCTGGTTGGCACTGGGATAGCATGACTGGGCCTAGTTGGCACTGGGATAGCATGACTGGGCCTAGTTGGCACTGGGATAACGTGACTGGGTCTAGTTGGTACTGGGATAGCATGACTGGGTCTAGTTGGCACTGGGATAGCATGACTTGGCCGAATTGGCACTGGGATAGGACAGTCAGGTCTAGTTGGCACTGGCATAGGACAATCAGGCCTAGTTGGCACTGGGATGGCATAACTGGGTCTAGTTGGCACTGGGATAGCATGACTGGGTCTGGTTGGCACTGGGATAGCATGACTGGGTCTGGTTGGCACTGGGATAGCATGACTTGGCCGAATTGGCACTGGGATAGGACAGTCAGGTCTAGTTGACACCGGGATATGATGACCAGGCCTAGTTGGCACCCCGATAGGACGACCAGGCCTAGTTGGCACTGGGATAGGACAATCAGTGCCTAGTTAGCACAGGATAGGACGACCAGGCCTAGTTGGCACCGGGATAGGACGACCAGGCCTAGTTGGCACTGGGATAGAACGACCAGGCCTAGTTGGCACTGGGATAGGACGACCAGGCCTAGTTGGCACTGGGATAGGACGACCAGACCTAGTTGGCACCGGGATAGGACGACCAGGCCTAGTTGGCACCGGGATGGAACGACCAGGCCTAGTTGGCACCGGGATA